AAATTTCATTAACATATGCTTACTAATTTAAAAATTGATAGCATGAAAACTATAACAAGAACAAAATAACAAGCCCATGCTGAAGGAGATAATCTGTTTGTTCCACTGTTGAAAGCAAACAGATATAAAAAATCTGATGCAGCAGCATCTCTGTATAGTAAGCATGTAAAATTTAAAATAACTTGTTTATATGGTTTTTCTTCCTAACTGAAGCTAACTTGGGAATTAGTTGAAAAATTTGAATACTATAAAGTGTAAGATTTTCAAGTAAAAAAAATCTCAAAAGTAAAGCATTTTATAAAAAGAACTATTATACTTACGCATACTTGTAATATACACGGGTCATATACCCAAAACGTTCATGGCCTGCAATATCCCTGAAAAAGCACAGAAGGACAAATAGTTTATTAACTTAAAAAACAAAATGTTTGGAATGTAAAGAAATTAGGAACCATACATATTGAAAATTAAAAAAAAAGCCAAGAAACCCAATAACCCAAAAGTTTTCAGAAAATAATTTCTTTTTTTCTTAATTCAACCTTGTAGAAGAAATAGTCTACTTTCCAGAAATGAATATTGGTTATCTGCATTCTTAGTGATTTATCTTTTACTTTTTTATTTTTTCAAAATGTCTCAAATAAACAAAAAATACCTCTGATTTTTGTTCCCAACTATTACATATTTTTACTGTGCGTGTTTATAGAGCTTTTTCTGTTACTTTTAAAATGGGGCCTGGGGTTTTCTAAAGTGTGAATTTTATGTTGTTCTGCTGATAGTTGTGAACTTTGGTAGATATAAAATTGAACAATAGAAAATACAAAACACGGTTCTACATTATCGTCACTGATTAGTCTTTTTTTGATGGTGACAGACTTTTAGAGTGAAAGTTTACATTATTTAAAGCTTTCTTACTGTCTATTGGCATATCTTTATTGCTTAAAGCTTGTGAAACCTGTAGTCCTATCGAGCCCAAGGTGCAGATCAGCATGAAATTGGTAGGCCCTATTATGCCAGTACTGTCGATGATAACATAACAAATGCTGACTCTTACTCATTTTCTCAATCAGTTTAGATTGAAAACCAAACCTAGAAGGTGTGCAATACTTTTCTGCATCTTTATTTAGCATTTTCTTTAATTAATAGTTGCTGTTAGAGACATTTTATCATATGCTGTAAAATGGTAATATAGAGACATCATATGCTGTAAAATGGTATAATGTCACAAAAACAAAATCAAATACTGTAAGAGATGTTTAAAGTGAAACACATTATTATAGTTAAATAAAGGCTTTAGGTAGGTTAAATATAAATTTGTTTTCATACATTTCAGTAACAATGCACTTGGGAATTTTCACTCCATATTTGGAAAAATGAAGGTTTGTTTTTTTCATTGGAACAAAGCCAACATTGAGCCTTAAGTTGACACTAGAAAAAGTCCTGACTATAAGCCAAATAACACTTCTTCAATTTTTATTACCAAATGTTTTGTAAAGAAACAGTATTTACAGTGCCTGTACAGTACTGTTTTCTGACTAGTACATCACACTTATATAAATGTTAATTCATTATAGGGTTAGCACAGTTATCTTGATGCTATATTTATGGTAGGGAATAAAAACAACAAAGACTGAAATAATTACTTTTGATAAAAGATAAGGAAATACTGGATTGTGGAGTAAATTTATGGATATTTAAAGGAAAGTAGACTGATCAGTTAGAGGCACATATACATTAAAAATTTCCAGTCATGATAACAAAACCAATTATTTTTAACCGCTCACAACATGGGTTGATGATCAACTTGTCTTTAAAAGTACTGCAAGATATAACATATAAGCAGCATTCAGTCACTGTCAAAGGTTCTAGTATATGGTACCTAACTTTTAAAGAGATTGTGATAAATATGTGGTGAAATGTCCTTGTATTATTAATAGCACATTGTTAGTAACAAAATGAATTGATTTTATAAAACAAAGACAATTTGTTCCTGTAAAATATTTCACATTCTTTTAGCAAATTTGAACTAATGTACATACTTTTAAGCATGCAGGATTCAAAGTAAATTGTTTTACATTTTTAAAGGTTAATTATTAATGCTTTTCTAAAAGAAAATACTAAAATTGATCAAGTGACTAAATTTATTCATGTTTCCTCTTTCTTGAGCTATTCTTACTTATTTTTATATCAAATATAGCCAAGAAGCATTTGTACAACGTTTTATTCATGATATGCTAAGTCTGGTAAACTCAAACTATTTGAGTAGTTCATTATTATGGCTGTTTCTTTCAACAACTTCAAAAACTTAAGCCAAATAACCAATTAGATAATGGTTTTGAGAGATAAAGTTATTCTTTCTGCTCACATAGTCAAAAGTGATTATGCAAAAAAAAAAAGTGGTACTGATGAATGAGGTTCTTCAAATTTTATATTTTATTGTACAGTATTAAACAGCAAATGTTTCTTAATTTTTCACCTCACTTTTAAGTCACTGGCAAGAAGACTAATGCTAAGATGAGTATTTTCTTAATCAGTATGCTCACATTCAAAACATTTATTCCATAATATGGTTTTGTAAAGATGACGATGTAAAAAAACTTGATAAATATTATGATCAAAATATTAATCAAGAGATCACAAAAACATTACATGCTTTGGGAAAGAAAAACAGTGTCTCTAAAGTTAAAATAATGTGAATTTGATACCATTGAATGCTAGCATAATATACCAGGGATTGAAACTGCATAAGTACAAAATACTTACCAAAAAATGACAACAAAACATTTAATACAAAACCTTCTTACATAGATTTGTGTGTTTAGAAAAGCACTTCATTAAATTTATTTTGCATACATGGTAGAAGTGAGAACTTACCACAGCTGCAATGTTATGTGTGTTTTGGGATCCCACAATATGGACTTTATAGCAAAATCTACACCAATAGTGATTTTATAATACTGAGAAAATACTCCTACAAATGGATAACAGGAAAATAAATCATCATATATTTTCAGCATAAAACAATATGAGAGTATGAAATACTAACAAAACATCAAACAGCTCACTTGTCATTTATAAAAAAATTCAAATTCAACAATGTTTTATTTTTACCTAATCCACATATTATGTAGGAAGTATTTAAGCCTCATACATATAGATGACAAATATAAAGGTCCTCATACTCCACAGATAGTACATATTAGGTTTACTTAACCCTCACAGAATGTGGATGATTAGTGTAAAGTTTTCAATTTCTACCCAATGTGGATAGTAAATATATACATAAGACCTATCAAATTTTCATACATCGTGGATAACAAATATAGTCTACTTAAGTCTTCACATGTGTATGATAAATTAGTTTTAGATTTTCCTTACCTGAAAATGTATTTATGATACATACTTACCTCTCTGCACACAGTAGCCATTCCTCATGCATTTGCCTTTGAGATTTTGCAAATGCCAGTAGCCTTGAGCTATCACCCACCTATGACATGTTATTACACAAACAGTGCTAGTGCATGATGTAAACATCATGCAACATTAACCCTATTTCAGAAATAAACGGGAGTATGCTAAAAATGGAAAAAGAAATAAGGCACTTACTCATTCAAGACAGTGAGTAGACTGGAAAATGGCAACTGGAAGGAAGAAATATTCTGAGAGAGAAGAAACTGCTAGATGGTGGAGAGAAAGGAGCTGTGTGTGCCATGTAACATCAGACTTCCAAATTGGACATAAAGGGTGATCAGGAGCAGTACAATCATAGAGGGTCAAGATCGATGGAAAAAATATGTGAGAAAAGGTACAATCTTCCTTCCAAACTGCTAAAGTCATGAAAAAACAAGTTAGGGAATAAAATCAAATATCTGCAAAACAATGTGTGGGAGGCATCCACTGCATAAAGATCAAATCTGCAATGACCACTAGCAAGAAGGAGAAGGGAATATATTTTAAGAGAGAGATGGTATGAGAAGCAAGTGGCTCAAAGAGTACCTGGGGAACAGCATGCAGAACCACATCAAGATTCCAGTCAGGCAAAGGAACCAGATGAGGGGGGATGATGAATTAGGAAAGACCACAAGAAAGTGGAAAGAACAGGGGAGGAAAAGACAATCATTATGAAAGAGGTGAAAGGTAGTTGATAAGGCCACCTGATAGCCCAATAATTCTTGGTGAAAAAAAAAGGTAAAGAAGGCCATAAGGTTGGCAACAGTTGGATGGCCTTATGGTAGTGGGTGGTGGATGGACCAGCAATGAAAACACACCATTTTCATTGATAGATGGAGAGTGTAGAATGGAAACAAAAATGGGATAACAGAAGGGCTAGATAGTAAGAGAAACCTGACCAGTCAAATCCCACTCATGAAGTCAAAGGGATAACACTCCCAGGTGAAAGAGAGACATGTGAAGTTGGAACAAGAGTGGCTGAGATGGAAGCAGGAGAAGAGGTGTCTTGTATGCCAGTTAATGAAGAAGAGAAAACCCAGACTGAGATGGCTAAAAAGGTGCTACTAACAGGACCTGAGAAAGCATGTAATGAATCAATGCCAAGACACACAGTAGAAGATGAAGAGGAGGTCACATCTAAAGAAAGAGATGAGACCAGGCCTGGCTGAGTGCATTCACAGCCAGAGTTACTGAGTGAGGTACCAGGGACTAGAAGAGGGAAGAGTTTGGTATTGTGAGGAGTGGCAAAGGTATCAATCAATGACATGCACAACTGCAAACAAATCCAACAAAATACCAGAGGATGAAGTGACTGCTTTGTAGGAAGAATCCTGTCTGGTTGAGGCTTGATCTGCCACCAAGTTCAAACCTAATGGGACATAGGAGTCTGTCACATGAATCCAATGTGAGTGGGCCAAAACAGAATCAAAGGTCACTGGAGCAAGTTCCACCCTACAATTAATATAGGAAACAACCATAAAATTATTGGAGTGGATCATAACCAAGTTATCCACAAGTGAAGGTACGAAATAAAAACACATCTGACAGATGGCCAAAGAGATCCAAAACACTGAAGAGAAAGGTATGTTCCATAGGAGACCAAACTCCTGAGGCAGTGGAGTCATCCAGAAATGTGCCCAACCAGTAAGAGAAGTGTCAGTGAAGAGATGGAAACCCAAATGAGGATGGGGGAAGGGGGGTGACAATGGGATGCCAATCCATAGTATTGGCAGGATCCAAACACTCAGACAGATCCTTGAGAAGAGAAGATGGCAGTCTAACAAGAGAGGACAGAGGATTGCAACAGCTTTTCCAGTGGTCCCTCAAAGTCCATTGAAGAAGCCACATGTGAGCCTGGCCTAGAGGGACAAGATGTTCTAGAGATGCAAAAGTCTCCAAAAAAAAAGACAGAACTTGTCACTCAGGACGTATAGGAGATACAAGAATATAGGTGACTAAAAGCTCTATGTCTCATAAACAAATGGAGGAAGGCTAAGCGCAACTGAGTTGAGGATTGGAAAAAAATTTCCAAGGTGACCAAGCAATGAATTGGAGTCAGAAAAGACTTGGAAGACTTGAACGGCCAACCCAGATGAGTTGTCTCTTGGAAGAAAAGTGATGTGGCTGAGAAGGAGGCCTCTTAACATTAGATGAGGAGAAGCCAGTGATCTATGTAATAATGAAAACAAAGTCCGAGACTGTGTGAACGTGGTGAGTAAAACGCTTCCATGACTCTATTGAGGACATAAGGAGCTGAAGCAATACCAGAGTGGAAAGCTCGAAACTGGTACACCTGATCCAAGTGAATGAAATCATGGAAATGAAGTAAGGATGGGGTAGTTGGAATATATCAAAGTTTTGTGACAACATGGGACCTATTGGTTAATTTTGGCTGTTCCATCGTCAAAAATAAAATAAAATGATTAAAAAAAATAATAATAATTTTAAACCCAGCCCTTTTCATTCATATACTTATCAAGCTTTTTCTTA